GAGGAGTAACACTATAAAAATAATAATAAAATTTTCAAAATAAATTTGTAGGTGACCATAAAAGGCATTGGCCAATGAATGAACTATAACAATGATGATTGGCCGCATAGAGAGACCCACCAATCAACAAAACAAATTCCAAGGCAAACCAGCCCAACCACATCAACAAGCCTAATGTTGCACAATTCGGAAGACAAGTTGATTCCAACAATAAAAGAACTAAGAGCCAATAACAACAATGAGCATGGTGAGCTCCTATGAGGCACGAAGGAGGACAATAGTGATTATAAAATAATATGTATCTAAAGGCTATTATAGCAGAATTTAACGTATTATGTAATGAAACTTATTATAAAACTTCTAATCATATCTTATGTGTTACATATATGACTTCTGATGACATGATAAAGAAGTTAAAATAAGCAAAAAACTTTGCATCAAGTTCACCCTCCATAGTACATGGTCGCCTATATGAGTTGTTTAGATCGATTAAGGGTTGAGAGCGTAATAGAGTCGTAACACGACACATGTTGGTTCTTTAGTCTAACATCTAGTAAAATGGAGTATGGGTAGGAAGTCATAAGAGTGCTCGCCACTATATTGATTTATAGTTTTTTTTTTTATGATAAGTGATGGCCCTGCAGTGGGCATGGCCGTGGCGATGATGTAATTTCAATGCACTCTGGATGCACATTTCAAAATATGCATACTTGTTTTTTTGGGACTCACAATTTAATGGTCATCAAGGACTAGTTACATTAGATGAAGGTGATTATGGATGGGATGGCATATCAAGAAATTTTAAGTTGTTTCTACTGGTCATTGCACTTGCTTGCGAGGCAAAGCACTAGTGGGTTAATCAGTGTCATATTAGTTTTAGTAATCATCCCAATAACAACATATTTTGAAGTGAATTCATGAAAGCCCTTCGAGATTGATTCACCCCCAGCATTATTTTAGACGAGAGATGAACTAAGCAGATTACTACAACAAAGTACATTCATGTTAGAGTATGAAGTGTGGTTTTATGCTCTTGCTCTCCATGTATCAGAAATGATGGCAACTTTAAAACAAAAGTATTAAATATTCGAGAAAGGGATTCTTTTCTATTTTTGTGCCTTGTAACATTAGATTTTCTTTCTATTGTCATATGCTTATTTGATATTGCTTCTTGTTTTCCCCTTCATTAACCGCCTAATGAGTAGACATCTCCACACTTCCAAGTTCCAACTCCCTCGTTTCCTTACATCTACAAAAGCACCCCACTAAACTATCATGTTTTTGTGTTGAAAACTCTTGAAGAAAGAAGATTGATAAATACAAAACTATATTCCAACCATATATAAGATTTAATTAAAGTTTTTGGTTAAAAACTTCCCATGAGTGCAAAAATTCATAGTTCATTAATCTCTCAGTTGGGATAGTCCTTGATTTTTTAGGATGAAAATTGATGATAAATGATTATCAGCATAGAAGTCATGGCACCAAGTCATATGGTTTAGGTAACCTAAACCCAATGCAGTCTCAATGACTTCATGGCTTGAACCGGGTTTGATGACAAGAGAATTGTTAATATTCAATTCTTTAGTAAGTAGCCATGAAGCCCTGGCCTTGGGTTTTATTAACAATAACATAGCTCAGTCTTGTGAATTCATAGGCTAAACCAAAGTCAGTTTTGTTGGATTCAATGCATAATAATAGTAACTCTTCAGGCACTGATCATCGATGGGAGTCATTAGCCATTCACTTTTTTCGTAAATGACTTGGCAAGTTTCATATTGTTCTTCAATCATAAAGGGCTCCTCCTATTTAGCTCAAATTTATAGCCTATGTGATAATGAGAGACAATCAATCATGAAAGGACAAGGATGAGATTTCCAACTTAGAAGGCTCTAGGATAGTCCAACTAATTATGTGATTGAATTAACCATGCTATAGTTCATGGCTTTGTTAGGCTTCAAATCACACCTTATCTAAAGCATTGAGTTTTTTTGATTGTAGGCAAGCATTATCTCCTTGTGTCATTCCATGATTGATGGTTACATACAGAGAGGAAGGCACAACATCCAAATGAAATATAAACTCAACCCCAAAATCTAGTGCATAAGGAGTCTTAATTAAGGAGGTCATTTAACTTTGAATTATAAGGTATTTATTTTGCAACAATGGTATTAACACTGCCGTTGCTCATAATAAGCTTCATTAATGCAATATATATGTCATTCAACTTCTCATGAATTTATAATTAGGGTTTTATTGGATTACAACTCTCCTTTCAAGTTAATTTGAGTCAAATGTTGTTGTTGTTGGTATTGTATATATTTCATCTCATAATAAGCTTCATTAATGCAATATATATGTCATTCAACTTCTCATGAATTTATAATTAGGGTTTTATTGGATTACAACTCTCCTTTCAAGTTAATTTGAGTCAAAGAGAGCTCACCTGACAATGAAAACTTAGCTAGCTTAACATTTCTTACAATAGCCGTAACTACAACAGTTTCGAGAGCATCCAACAGAACTCAAACAGGCACAAGAGTTGCCAGCCACCTAATGAAGAAAGAGATGAAAGGGCACCATTTTTCTACTTATGAGGTAAGTCCAAGACACCCTACACAACGAACCAATCAATCCAAAGAGGGTAAAGATATGACCCCATCTTTATTATTTGGGGTGACAAGAGGGGTGACTTATCAACCATACTGGCCAATCCACTCCTAGGTATTGAGTCATAGAAAAGAGACATTAATGATGGTCAAACTCAATCGTGACTACACTATAGCAAGACGCCAAAATCAATGGCAAAAAATGTTCATGGAGAGAAAAGTAGGATATTTACAATATGGAGAAAAGTAGGAAATTAACAAAGAAACTGCAATAGAAAGAAAATGGATGAAAGCAATGACATTGGGGTTAAGTAGAGAGCAAGAAAATCACAACGCAAAGAATAGTAAGGAAGATCGACTTTCTATTCCTTAGAACCATTCTGAGTCCAACACGTGTCTCGACAAAAGGGTTGTTCACATACTTGGACAACTCAAGTACAATAAGCATCACATCAAAACGTATACCATCAAATCTTGCAAGGTGTGAGCCCTAAGTATTGACATCCATTGGTTATACTAAACACAACACACAATTCGCCTAGTGAATGAAATTGGCACCTAAGTATTAAAAGTATCAATGTCCTCCTCTGCCGAGAGGACTTTTTACATTCTTTTCAACCCTAGCCACCTTTAAGAGAGTTGTGGTCAGAAAGCATATTTAAAGAGCCTACTGCTCCGTTTGTAACCTTGGAGCCAAATTAATTGAAGAAAAATAAGAATAACCTTGGATACCTTTCCAACTCTCGCACCCAGTCTTTCACTCGTACTCTCACAAGCTTTTTTATTTGGCCTGTCGGAACTCACAGGCGTCGTACTCAACAATTTGAAGTAGAATAGTAACAGGAATTCACGTTCTAACAATCTTGTATGGAGCAAATAAAATGAAATTTGCTAAAAACAATAGGATTACACTCGGGTAAAAAGCGCAGACTCTTGAGCAAAGAATACCTGCATTTTCCAAAAAGAATGATCAAAGTGATTGAGCAGCTTATGCTTCCCCATACCCGATCGGCATCCACGAGCGTAAGCTCGACGACAGCCCTAACATCCGTGACCAAGGTCGCTAGCGCAAGGAAGACGAAAAGCCTGTTACAGGGAGAGCCGGGATTCACCGACGTCGATTGGAACTTATAATTGCGAAGCCCCAAAATATAAAAGTTTTTATCTGGTTATTAACATTTTAAATATATTTTCATTAAATTTATTAGGTGAAAAATACAGAAAGTATTCTTCAGAAAAAAATTAGTTAGTCCTTAAAAAACTAAAAATTATTATTTACGGAGGCCGCATGCAGTTTGACGTATGGAGTTGAATCAGGTGCAGTCAGTTAAACTATGTCGAGTCACGATACACAATAAAGAAGTGACGTGACACATTTTAGTTGATCTTTGGATGACATTCGGTGACCACATAGAATAATTAATCTTAAAAAACAAACAATTATGGTGGAAAAGAAAATATTTATGAAACTTTCAATTTTTATCATTTATAGAATATTTTAGCTAAATTTTGGTGATGATAAATCTCAAATTAATTAAATTTATTTTAAAATAAATATAATTGATAAAAATAAATAAAATTTATGTTTTTTCATCATAAAATAAATATAATATTTTTAAGATTTAGCAAAATTTGGTCAAAAAATTCAGAGCATTTCTTTATTCTTTCATCTTTTGTTCTCTGCATATTTCTTATTTTAAAAATATTGTATCAAAACATTCTAATATAATTTTAATTAACATCTCAAAAAATCAAAATGCTTATTTATTTCTAAAAATAATTTATTTTTTTAAATTTTTATATCATCTCTTCATTTCTTCAAATTTAATAAAAAAGCTATGCTGTATAAATTTAATACAAATTGTTTTTTTAATGGGGTTGGACATTTAAATATTGAACAACCAAACCAAATTGCAGAAAATCAGCCCTTTCTACCTTATCCATTCGCCTATCTTTGCCCTCAGCTTCCATGGCGGCGGTGGCCGCCACTCTTTTCCTCACGCACGCTCGCCTTCTTCCCTACCCTTCGTTACACTATACCCATCCGTCCTCCTCATCTCCCTCGTTGGGCTTATCGCTGTCTCGCTCACAATCCCCTCTCCTCACTCTGCTTATTCCTTCTAGATTTCGAAGAACCCCTAGGGTTTTTGCCGTCGCTGAAAATGAAAGGAAGGTCTTCTTGTCGGAGTCGGATTTGGTAGACGAGGAGAAGGCTATTGGCGAAGGAGTTGGCGCTACAGATGAGACGAAGCGCCGGCTACGACCCTGCGAGCTCTACGTTTGCAACCTGCCAAGGAGCTATGACATTTCTCACTTACTCGAGCTATTCAAACCCTATGGAACTGTTCAATCGGTAGAGGTGGTTGTTTTAACATTTTTTTCCTAATACTGTTTTTTTGCCCGTGATTCTATGATGGGATAGTCTCAACCGATAGGGCTTGTTTGGCTTGAAGTAATCGCAAGAAAGGAAATGCAAATGAAATAGAAATGAAAATAAGAAAGGAATTGCATTGAAGTAGCTTCAATTGTTTGGTTGAGGAGAAATTCAATGAATTATTTTCTTTCTTGTCAGGTTGATGGGAAATAGAGCTTTTTATATCATTTTGGTATCCCTTGTAGAATGTGCATAGCTATGGAGCTTTGGATATCATTTTCTGATAAGCTATTTTATTTACATCTAACTGGTCTGTTTTATTGGTGCTTAGTCTTTGTGCTATTGGGATTTGTGGAACTCAGGTGAATGCTTTGCGTAACTAGACATCATAGTTCATCAATATAGACTTTTTGAATCTCAAAATCTTAATAACTAATGCTAGCAATGTGTAACATCATCATAATCTGAAGCATTTCCTCATTACTAACGGTTTGACTATGCAGCAAGATCATTGGAAAGCATGACAAGTGTGTATGGTATCGACCTGTGTAGTTTTTTTGTTTCTGATTTCGTGGTTTAGAAAACAAAGGCAAGAAAAACAACCAAAATAATTAGTTGAAGTCAATAAATGGAGCTTTGCTCTGGGTTCCTACATACAATAAATGTGTGTTTTTTTTCCTGATTTCATGTTTTAGGGTGTGACCATACCAACATCAGTGCACCGGATCCCATCAGAAATCCGTTGTTAATTGTGCTTATGCGAGAGTAGTTCTAAGCTGGGTGACCTCTTGGGAAGTCCTCGTGTTGCAACCCTTTTAAAAATATTGTCATTACCAAGTCCCAAATCCTACAGAGAAAAGTGTAGGGTTGAGTTAGATAGTCAACAGTCTACGTAAAACTTGTCGGACAATTTTGACTTGAATCCATTAATCAATTGTGTTAATGCTAGGATATTCCCTAAAATTCTAAAAATGATGCGCTGTATAGCCTGAATACAGTGAGAAGTGTGCAAATGCCGTTATACCAGTGTTATTAGATTTCAAAGATTGTAAATTTTTTTCAAGCGAAACTTTATGTATCCAATATTTCTTATTAGTTTTAGACTTGAATATGAGGGACTAAAATAAATTAGATGGGGACATTTAAAAAATACTAAAAATATACTTTTAAGAGTAAGATTCAAGATCGTTAGATTTTGATTCTACATGATGAAGCTAATATTATGTGTCAAAAAGTAGCTAGTGAGGTTAAAAATATTGCACAACATGTGTTTGGAGTATCAAAAGAAAAAACAAATCTTAATAGGAAAAATAATTTGTGGTGGAATTAAAATATGTAAGAAAATATTAAAAATAAAAAGTTTTGTTAGAAAAATTAGTTTAGATGTAAAAGTTTAAAAGGTTTGGGTAAATGTAGAGGAGCTTGTAAGAAGTCTAAAAAAATAATATGCGATGCAAATAATTGAGGTTTTGATGATTTATATAATAGATTAGACTAAGAATAACAAAAGATGTATGTGTAAGTTAGCCATGCTAAAAGATAGAAAAAATAAAGACCTAATTCAAGTGAAATGCATTAAGGATGAATATTAAAAAATATTCTTTTTTAAAAGAGGATATTCAATATAGATGAATGAGATACTCGATAAGTTTTTTAATGTGGATTGTAAGAATACATGATTTTACTATTTTAGCACCCTAAATGAAAATAGATATTTTTATTTTTATTGATGTATTAGTAAAATTAAATTTAGGGAGGCGTTAAAGGAAATGAAGTGTGGAAAGTAATTGGACCTGATGATATTTCATGGAGGTGTGGAAATGATTTGAAGATGAAGAAGTAATTTTTTAGCATACTAATTTTTATAATATTATTTTCAAAATTAAAAAGGTTCTAGATAAGTGAAGGAGTTTGTTGATTTCTATTTTTAAGAATAAAGGTGATGCACTAGAGTGCAAATTATAGATGAATTAAGTTAATGTGTCATACATTAAAGTTAATTGAGCATATGTTATGATGAGATATTAATATTTCTCAAAATCAATTTGGATTCATGCCCGATATGTCTGCTATGGAAGCAATACATTTATTAAAAGGCTTGATGGAGAAATATAGAGAGTATAAAGAGGATCTACATATGATATTTATTGATTTAGAGAAAGCATATGATAAAGTTCCAAGAAAAGTGCTATGAAGAACTCTAAAAAAGAAAGGAGTTAATAATGTTTATATTCAAGTCATTAAGGATATGCATGCTAAAGTTGTTACTTGTGTTCAAATACAAGATAGTTTGACCAAGTATTTTCGTATTTTAGTTGGATTACATCAAGGATCAACTCTAAACCCATAATTTTTTGCTTTAGTCATGGATGTTCTTATTATACATTTGCAAGAGGATCTACCTGGTGCATGCTTTTTGTTGGTGATATTCTTTTTGTTGATAAGACTAGAGATAAAGTCGAAGAAAACCTAAATTATGGATGCCAATCTTAGAGTTTAAAGGTTTTCATTTGAGTAGATTTAAAACGGAATACATGAAGTGCAATTTTTAGCGGTAATAGATCTAGTGGGGATATTATGACTTTGGATGATCAATTCATTAGAAAGAGTATATATTTTAGATACTAGGGTCTATTGTTCAAAGTGATGTTGAACTTGATGGGGATATTATTATTAGAATTCAAGTTGGATGGCTGAAGTGAAGGAATGCATCGAGTCTGTTGTGTGATAGAAAAGTACCCCTCAAACTTAATGGAAATTCTATAGGATGGTGGTGAGACCTGCAATACTTTATAACGCAAAATATTTGCCATTAAAAAAGAAGCATAAAATTAAGTTAAGTGTTGCAGAGATAAGGATTTGGAAAGATATAAAAAGGTCTATATGGAGTCTAAGAAAGCAATATGCGAGATAAAGATTTTAGCTTTTAATGATTTATATAATAGACTAGATATTAAGGAGGATAAAATATATATGCATTAGTTAGCCAAACAAAGATACATGAGTAGTAAGGATTTAGTTCAAGTGAAGTGCATTAAAGATGAAGATAAAAAAGTGTTTTTATTAGAAGAGAATATTAAACAAAGGTGGATGAGATATTTTGCAAAACTTTTCAATAAAGATTGTGGGAATACTATTGATTTTAGTGGCTCTAGCACCCTAAATAAAAGTAAAAACTTTTGTTTTTATCGGCTTATTAGTAAAATCGAAGTGTGAGTCTTTAAAGAAAATGAAGTGTGAAAAAGCTATTGGATCTGATGATATTCTAATAGAGGTGTGAAAATGCTTAGGAGATGAAGGAATTTTTTGGCTTTCTAAACTTTTTATTTTTTTTTTGAAGACTAGAAAAATGCCAGACGAATGGAGAATGAGTGTGTTGATTCATATTTTTAAGAATAAAAGTGATGCACAAGATTGTGGGAATTATAGAGGAATTAAGTTAATGTGTCGTACTTTAAAACTACGGGAGAGAGTTATGAAGCATAGGTTATGACGTGATACTAATATTTCTCAAAATTAATTTGGATTCATGTCGGGCAGGTCTACTATGGAAGCTATATATTTATTGATAGGTTTGATGGAAAAGTGTATAGAGAATACATAGGATCTACGTATGATATTTATCTATTTAGAGAAAACATATGATAAAGTTCCAAGAGAAGTGCTATGGAGAGTTTTAGAAAAGAAAGGGATTAATAATGCTTATATTCAAGTCATGAAGGATATGTATGTAGGAGCTATTACTTGTGTTCAAACACAAGGTGATTTGACCAAGTATTTTTTTATTTCTGTTGGATTGTATCAAGGATTGGCCTTAAGCCCATATCTTTTTGCTTTAGTCATGGATGTTCTCTCTAGACATTTGCAAGAGGATGTATCCTGGTGTATGCTTTTTGTTGTTGATATTCTTTTTGTTGATAAGACTAAAGAGGGAGTTTAAGGTAAACTTGAATTATGGAGGCCAACCTTAGAGTCTAAAGGTTTTCATTTGAGTAGATTTAAAATTGAATGCATGCGATGTAATTTTATTAGTAATAGATCTAGTGGGGGGATTGTAACTTTGGACAATCTATTCATTCATAAGAGTACACATTTTAAATATCTTGGGTCTATTGTTCAGAGTGATGGTGAAATAGATGAGGATATTATTAGTAGAATTCAGGTTGGATAGTTGAAGTGGAGGAATGTATCGGGCCCGTTGTGTGATCGAGAAGTACCTCTAACTTGGGGGGAAATTCTATAAGATGGTGGTGAGACCTGCAATGCTTTATGGCGCAAAATATTGGCCATTAAAAGAAAAGCATAAAATTAAGTTAATTGTTGCAAAGATGAGGATGCTCAGGTGTATGAGTGATTGTACTCTTAGAGACAACATGCGAAACAAGCGTATACATGAAAAGGTTGGAGTAGCTCCAATGGTAGATTAGAGAAGAGAGAGTCGCCTTAGATGGTTTGGTCACATAAAACGTCGACCTTCCAATGACCTAATTAGGAGAGTAGATGTATTAAATTTGACATATGCTAAGAAAAACAGAGATAGACCTAAAAGACTTGGTTAGAAAATATTAGAAATGATTTTTTACTAGATTTAAATGAGAATTTGATCCTTAACAAAACATGATGGAGAATAAGGATTCATGTTGCCAACCCCACGGATAAAGGCTTAATGTTGTTTTTTTGTTGTTGTTGCAAATATGAGGATGCTCAGGTGGATGAGTGGCCTTACTCGTAGAGACAGAATGCTAAATGAGTATATACGTGAAAATGTTAGAGTTGCTCCAGTGGTAGATAAGATTAGAGAGTGTCATCTTAGATAGTTTGGTCACAAAACGTCGGTCTTCCGATGACCCGGTTAGGAGAATAGATGTATTAGATTTGGCTTATGTTAAAAGGGATAGACATAGCCCAAAAAATGGTTGGTTGCAATGTATTATAAATGATCTTTCTTTATTATATTTAATCAGACACAACGGAGAAAAAAAGGATCATGTAGCTAACTTCATGCAGTGGGATAAAGGATTGATGTTGTTCTTGTCTTTGTTATAAGAAATGCAAGGAATCAATATTTTCTATATTTATTGAAGCTAAGAAGCTGCTTGATAAATGGATTCATTAAAGAAAATTTCTTCTTTAATTGGTTT